CGATACAAGGTAAAATATTTTGCCTCACAACACCCATTTTTCTTTTTATATAAGACTTCAATAGCTCATAAAAGGTCATTTACCAAAATTTACGCGATTCTAGATTTCTTTTCTTTCGATTTGAGACCCAAATAATACCAATGCAAATATAAGGTAAAAGTCCGAGTCAACCTTTTCCCGCCATTTAAAAAAAAAATTAAATATCTCGAAAAAGGAGTATCAATTTTAAATACTAGTTTTTTTCTAATTTCACCTAAGTACATCCTTAAATACGTCTCCTGCCTGCAATACTTATAGTGTTATTCAAATGACAATGATCAAGTAATGTTGAGTTATGGTTTATATAGACCATATTATCTGTTGCACTAGCCGAGACAGATGTGAGAATTTAATGCCATACTTCAGATGATTGTCTATGATGAGTGTTTTAACACATAACAATTTATAAGCAAGACTTCATTGTTAGACTTATTCCAGCAGGTGCCAACTTAAATATTATAGCTTTTGAGTTTAGAAAAATCAATCAAAAGAATATTACTGTTTGCTCAACGTTCAGTGGCATATATTTTACGCATATTCAGGACGATAACATATTAATATTTAATGCAAAATATGTCTGCAAAGTGGACAATAATAAAATAGCGGAATAATCGTATATTAACTTCCTTTGATCCCATGTTATACTTTGAAATATTTGGCTTTGAGCGTTCATGATGAAGGTAAATCCAGAAAAGCGCTTCGGACGCATGAAATTTATAACGTGTTGTTTTCATTTTTTAAGTGCTGCAAGAGGAGCGGAATATTCTATCGTTTTAGGAATACCTGGTATGTGTCTCCAAAAGGATCATTTATTTTATATATGTGTATGGCATGTCTGTTTTTGACATGGCATGTATCATGGATATTCTTCTATTCATATTCCATGTTTTAGTGGAGTTGTCAGAAGTAAACTGAGCAAGTCCAACCAGTAGACATTAAATAAAGTAAATCATCTTTTACTACGATATTTGTATCATTATACATTAGGTAAGAGTATCTTTAGTTGGAACACAAAAAACAACTTTATTCTGTATCATTCATTTTAGTTTACGTACTATTCCGAATTTATTTTTTCTGCAAACCTAACTACATGCAAGCACTTGTTATGCGATGCACGTTTTTGATATACACGTTTGATCAAGTTCAATACATGTACTGATATGATTATACATTTTTACTTGGTGTTTATTGTTTGAATTGTAATATGTGTATATCTGAATAAATAAATTAGGACATGAAAAAGGCGATCAGGGAAAATTTTCAATGTTATTTTAACGCAACGACATAATCAATTAAATCATTAACATGTTGCAAAGCTGAAAAACATAAAAAAAAAACTACGTAGTCATATTTATTTTTTTCCAGTCTGTTTATAGCGAAAGAAATCTGGTATACGGATGCTACAGTGTTGATAGGCAGTTACACTATAGAGATTAATAGATTGTTGGTTGCTTAACGTCCAGTGGCCGCTTTAGAGAAAGTCAATAGCTGTCCATTCCATGGACATAATGGAACGGAGGCCCATAGGGCCCGACGCCCATTATTTCACAGGCATTGACAGTTATTTGGACTTATGCATAATTAAAATACACCTTGAATATTGAAAACGAATCTTCAAAGTGTAAAATTTTGAATACTTTTATTTGATTTTGTAATTGTTATTATTTTACACGCTTGAATATTATCTAGGACATACATTTAGACAGAAATGCAGCCGAAAATTAAAACTGTTGAAGCAAGTTTTCATCTTCATTCGTTATCGCGTTAGTTTTATAAATTTTTCCATTGGGGAACACTATTCAAGAAAGTATCCAGGGAAATATCGTTACGGCAAAACGCCTGGAATAATGAAGATAAATGAATGAAAACAACTCTCCATTCCTGAAACAAAATGGCGCGTATGGTCACAGGTGTATTTTAACTGAAAATGATTTGCTATTTATCGACATTATTTATACTGTAAGAAAATAGTCTGAAATACGAACAAATGGCTTTAATACAAGCATGACTTACTTTTTTTTATCTGTACATATATGAGGGCGTTATAGCCCGAATGCATGGGTGTATCTAATTTACACCAAGATATTATTGTCAATGCAATGATAGTTTTCAATAATTAAGGAAGGGATCGTTCAGCAATTTGACCATATGTTATTGATAAGCATGGTATTTGCAGGGTATCCAATTTCATTTAGCGACATCTTAGTGTAAATGTTTATACAATAATTTTTGATCAGGTTTATATCAAAATACCATATTCATATGTATGAATTGTAGTCACGGTCGTTATAAACGTATGCAATTTTCTTTTATTGCGCTAATCACTTGCGTTTGATGTCTACTGAAATACAGAATAATTGTCACCTGGACTTCTCCAATCTGACAGTAGATACCATGCTAAAGATTGACTGATTGATTGATTGCTGTTTGCTTAACGTTCAGTGGCAAGCTATAGAACAATACATACAATAGGTAGGTCCTGCAATAGGGAATCGACCAGGAAGATAGACGGAAAATCGGGAATACTACCGGAAAACGATGCTTTATTGGATGTGTACAGACATTTAGCCATGCACCAGGCCACTATTGCATGCATCAAAGAGTTGTTGCAAGGGTTACTCACTTTCAGAGAGCGATGACATGCTTAATGGTTTACTTTTATAAATTTTGACTTGGATGGAGAGTTGTCTCATTGACACTCATACCACATCTTCTTATATCTATTAAGAAAGAGTCTGTTTGGCTTTTATGGGATTTCAATACGCAAGCAGTTCAGTTAGAATATAAAAGGCAATTCCGATGTTTGCATGAGGACCATGTCGTGAAGTGTTCACAATAAGGAATCATTTCAACGACTCTTTGAGGAATCCGAAGTTGCAAGGGCAAATATTTTAGTCGTATTCAATATCCCGCATTTTCCAATGACATTCAAAATTTATAATCCTTAATCACATTTATCTTTGACGACAGTGCCAACCTATCAGACTTATAATTACTTTGTTCTCGGCTTTAATTTATGTGAAATATTTTCAATCATCATGGTACTTTTAAAATCATAAGTTCGTAACACTTTTTTCTATACTTGACAGCGACATCATGTTTAAATTACAATTCGTTTTTCTTTGGTATACAAGGTCAAAACGCAAATTCCGGTGTTTTACTACTGGAGCCTATCCATGAGGATGTTGAACGGTATGTAAACTGATACATCATAACGCTAGTATAATAAATTATCCCAATATGAATCTCTAAAGAAAAACCCCGTGTTAAAGTTTTTAGTTTCTCATCTCATTGTATACGATTTGTTTTTTCAGTTAGTCCAGATCTCCACTCTGCTATAGCAAAATACCTTTCCATTGTCTAATCATTACTTCATATGATCATATCACAGACTATATCTTAAGAATTTTGGCATATGCTTTTCATTATGTTGCTATCACTTCAGTCCGTCCACGTACAGCCTTTAAAAATCTTCTCCCAAACTAATAATCAAATATCAAAATGTTAACGAACATTATTTGGGTTTCTAGATTACGGATTATTCATCATATTCCTGTCTATCACTCGTCATGCCTGCCATGGCTAAACAAAAATATAATATGACGGTAAAATACAGGAAACTGTTTATTATTTTTAAAAATCAATAATACACTTGTAGTTACTCTTATAGTCAGGATTAGACATATTCAGGGGATCGATTTTTTTCTGCTGTCTTTTTATATTACGTTTTGTCTATTATTTTGAAAATTTCACAGGATAGACATGCAAAAGTATAAGCATAACAATATCTATAGAAATGCATAACTATGCCGTGAGAAATTGAACGACTCGTTATTTGGATGTTCGGTTTTTGATAACGATAAACACAGTTTGACCAACGATGGAAATTATTTCAAAAAGCTGTCAAATGCAGACAAAAACAAAAATGGTCAGCTTATTCAGGTATGCTTAAATTCAAAAACCACTTGAGCCATCAGCTAAATTCGTATAGAAACAATTAACCTTGAGGGTATATATTACAGAAGCAGGAGCAGATACTTATAAGATATCTTATATAATATATAAGATATCTTATATAATATATAAGATATCTTATATAATATATAAAGATATCTCATATAATATATAAGCTAATTTTTATAAGATATCTTATAAATTATATGAGATATCCTATATATTGTATAAGATATCTTATATACTTTAAGATAACTTATAAAGTATACAAGATATCTCATAAATATTTTTTAAATCAGATATCTTATATACTTTATAAGACATCTCATATAGTTTATAAGATATCTCATATATTTTATAAGATATCTTATATAGTTTACCAGATATATCATGTAATTTATAAGATATGTTATAAAGAAAATTATATGAGATATCTTATAAAGTTTATTAGATATCTTGAAGTTAGAATAAATAGTAAAACGGCTTGCCGTACATTCAAGTTAAATGCAGTGCGTTCGCAAAGTTGCTAATGATATACATTCGAATTTCCGGGAAAATTACTGACGTCATCAAATTAGCAGCGTGAAGTTTTAAGCAGTGTCGAAGGAATTATATAAAACGATCCATAACTTAAGGCAGTAGTTTACCAATGTTCAAATCTCATTGATGGATTAAAAGACAAATCAAGGTTAAAAACAAGACTGAGGTAATCACATGAACTCCTAAAACGAATGAGACCGAGTGCGTCTTAATAAGCCACTAAGTACACTGCTTCACCTTATTTTGTGGCTGCTTAAGGGAGTATTATTTCAGGGGATGTAGTGGCAGTTGACACGTTAATATGTGTGAAACAAACGCTTGTTTTATTTTTTTGAAGGTCATGCCCTGTATACCAGTGGAATATTGTTACACCTAAGCAATGACAAAACTACAAACTGCTACACTTGACATATAAAAAATTTGAAAGACTATCATCACATAATGTGAAATCAAGACAGAAAAAGGAATCCAAATTGCTTTCGTTTTATTGAGATTTAGCATCCGTGTAATCTTGTACATGTATATTAGTGCCATTGAGGATTGAGTCATTGACAATTACATTTTGAACCTCCAATGAATTACAGCTAATAGGGACATTTTCATTTTTACGCAAACCACTTTCACCCACCTGGTCAAGTTCACTTTCCTTTCGTGAAACACTTTCTTTGGAATGTTCAATGTTATTTTCAGAGCTAGCTGCCATTTCTTTTATTTCCATTTTTGACGGCATTAACAATGAATCATTATTGACATTTACTGTGTTAGCTATTTCTGATTTACAAGTGATCGACATTTCTTTTGTTTTTGACGGTATATTTTTATCGGAGGTATTTTCGTCGAAATTGGTTTGTTTGTGATAGTTCTCAGAAGTCTGAGAGTTTCGGTTCGTTAACGACTGACTGGGATGTAAAACATTCACTGTGTTATGTAAATTGTTGTCTATTTGGTCCTCGTTATTGTCACCTTTAAGACTCTCCTTTGGTAGGAGGGATGATAATGAATTTCCTTGACATTGGTGAATTGTTACAGGTATCTCGTAACTATGAGATGTTTGCTTCCAGTCTTCGTTCAAGGGTTGGTATGGATTTAAGTATCCATCAGTTATCATTTGCGTACTAGAATCAGACGAATTGTCCACCTCTATGCTTGGAGCATGCGTTACACCATATTGATGTGTCTTTTCCTGCCAGTCTTCATCAATTGAATGATAAGGATGAAGATAGCTCGTTGCGTCATCATCTATATCGAACTCATCTGAGTTTTGGTTTTGATCTGATGCATGGAGCGACAAATAGCTTCGGTTTACATCTTTTTCAGATCCACGAAAGCTACTGCTATCACCTTCTGAATGAACGGGAGATAGGTAGCTTGTATTGTCATTATTTTTTAATTCTACAATTGCATTTGGTGATTTTTTAGCCTGCCAAGTTCTCATATCAGAATTTTCTACCAACATGGTCTCGTCGATTTCAGCGTATAAACTAGAAGCCGAATCGACATGAGTACGCATTCGCCTCAGAGACTTGCTCTGATTTGTATTAGGAATTCCCGGGTTTGTTGCTTTGCCTTTACTCTTCCTTCTGTATTTCCGAACTAAACTAGTAAGACCTATTGCCACTACAAGGCTACCAGTGACCACGGAATAAATAACTATTTCCCGCTGTAAAAGCCCTGAAAGTATACAAATGGGTCATTACCATCATATGTGATCACAAATAACTATTAATCACCTACTCTAAAAACAGTGTCTGTTTAGGTAACTAGTCCTATTACATGTTGGAATTGGTTACTAATAATATATATTTAGGTCCGATACATATAAACGTTGTAAATGATACATGAGATATTGGATGGTCAAGATATGTAAAGAGTTCTGAAATGAAAAATCGTGAAAATCGTAGCAAAGATTGTCTTAGAAATCAAAATATTTTGTACAAATTTTGTCTGCTTAACTAGCCATGATCGATTTAATGTTGAGTCTTTAAAAAAAGTTTTACTACAAGTCTCACACAAACTAAACATTATCATTGATCAATAACAACAAGGTCAAGGTCAAATAAACCCTGGTAGAAAGACATGTACACATTACAATTTTTTTCTTTGCACCAAATATAGTTCATCTATACCTGATAATATCTAAGAAACCGACTACTAAAAAAAAACTAATTATTGACCAATGAACCATAATAAAAGGGTCAAGGTAAGATGAACCCTGTCAAACAGATACAAAAACCTTACAATTGTTCCATACATCAAAGATAGTTAACCAATTACTTATTATATCTGAATAGAGGACAACACAAAACTACAGAAACGACAAACCAATTAAAAATGCAAATGAGATCAAGGACAAATGTCTGAATGACATATACACTTTACAATCGTTCTATACACTACAAATAATTGACCTAATGATTAGTATCTGAGAACCGGTCATAATTACGAAACTTTAATCTTGATCACTGATCCATGAAATGAGGTCGAGGTCAGGTGAACCGTGTCTGAACATTGTCTGACAGACATGAAGACGTTACAAGGAACCCATATACGAAATAAAGTTATAATATGAGCGAACCTATAATAAGAGCGAATTTCACATGACAAAAGAATTAAATTTTGTTAAAGCAGTCGCTGAACCTTGAAAATGAGGTCAAGGACAATTGGCACCTGACAGACTTGGTTTACATAAGATATATGCGTAAAAGGTATGAAGCATCGCAACAACCGCCGTCACTGTAGCTCCAAAACTCGGAATAATTAACATGAAAACTGCCAAAATTTATTAAGATATGATTTTATGTTTGTGTTAAGATTGTGACATCAAACTAAACGCTTCTGTATAAGTGCTCAACTGTCAAATAAACAACGAACAGTAGAAGTTAATACTATGTCTTCCATTAGAAGTCCATTCAGGCGTTGCCTTGAACATGTACAAGATCATAGGAGTTACTTTTTTGTACATGTTCATGTATTTAGAAGTACAACATGTTAAACTTGTTGATATTTGAAAGGTACCAGTCCCATGAATTGGAACTGCAATCATTGTCGTTAAGCACATAATATATATATATATATATATATATCACTTGACTACAGCTTTTAACGTCGAGGGTCTTGATGAATTTGTTGTGAGGTGCATGGATTTATCATATATATATATATATATAAAACTTCTCAGAACAATGAATATGTTGAAATTGTATGATCATCATACATGTCATATTCGTACTGGTTCATCAAAAGTGGCATGTAGTTTGTTATTTCAAAGAATATCGTTTTTGAGTTGACATGCTATATGTGTTATTGAAGAAAAATAACAACAATATAAAAAGTTAATTTGTCAATACTAACCAGTGATTTCTTTAAGAGGAGTAATGTTTTGGATCATCGTATTAACATTGCTGAAGGACATTGAAGTAACTGTTGTCAAATTTTCCCTTACAGCTGTCAATATAAAAAAGTATATGTAGATTATGTTAATAAGATATGAACAAACACAGCTTCTAGAGATCAAATAAATACCTTCTCTACAACGCCAAGTTTACGCGGAAATATTATCCTGTGATATCAACGTTTTTATTTTTCAATGAATGCACACACAGAGGTATTTGTACTTCATATCGAGTGACGATTTTTCTGAAACAAGACCTCTAGAAAACGATTTATTTCTGCTGCCGAAAATCTTTTTTATGTTACTAGTTTGCATTATAATAAAGAATCTTAAAATCAATGTATATAACATCTAAAGTGTAAAGGGGTTACACGAAATAAATTCCCTGAAATACTATCAAAATGAAAATAAATATTTTGTAAGATGTAACGTGTTATTGCCTAATATGCAAGTTTAATGGTCAATTTTGTAATTTTGTAGTTATATGATACTGAAGTACATCAATAAATACATGTGATAAATAAATACCGGTGCTCCATATCCACTCTGGTGTACTCGTCTGTATTGGTTCTGTAGTAATTGTTTCATTTAAACAACCATGAACATGGTTACATCTAGAAACATAAATAAGATGAAGCATTGTCTGAATTTGCGACTCTAAGTTTATCATCAACAATGTACTTATCATATCTCGATATCTTTTGTATAACTTTACGAACGAAAGGTGCCACATGAGGAGCAGGATATGCTTACTTTTCCGGAGTACCTGAAATCACCCCAAGTTTTTTTAGCGGGTCGTGTTGCTCAGTCTTAAGTTTTCTATGATATGTTTTGTGTACTATTGTTTGTCTGTTTGTCTTTTTCTTTTTAAGTCATGGCGTTGTCAGTTCATTTTAGACTAATGAGTTTCAATTTTCCTCTGGTATCTTGCATCTCATTTAAGAATTATTGATACAGAAGTAGATATAAGTGTTTTTTGTTTTCATTTGTCTAAATCAAATCATGTAGTTTAATTAAAATCCGAACCACGAGATGCAAGATATGTTAATGATATAATGTCACTCAATATCCAAGTAAATGCTTGCATCTAATGTATATGTATACTATGAAGTTTACTTTATATCTTGATTTTCTACTTGATATTGACACAGATGGAAGCATGGAATATAAAATGGTTAAATAGAGTAGCCTCAGAATTATGTAAGTTTCGAACATATTTGTATTCTATGTATATGAGATAAACACAAATTAAAAGGAGATCAAGTAAGAATAATCTGTAAAGGATTTTTTTAGCTACTGACAACACAGAGAAACTTTGAATACATACGAAATCTTAGGGGCGATAGGCTTTAAAAAATTCCTCTTAAAATCATATTAGATTTTCAGGTACAGTCAATTTTAAACTATGCATCCGCGTGGTAAAGAAATTATTGTCCTCTTTCATCAGATGTAATAGGGAATTCATACATCTACATCCTCATTGTTGGTCTTAACCAAGCGGTGACCATGTGGCCATTTTTGTTTTACCTCGTCAACCCTTATGCAGCTACATGTGAACAATGTTCTATTTAAGAATTAAAACTTTGAAAAGGAACAGTCGTTTTTATAATTAGAACATTCATTTCTGATATGAACTAATAATAATATTATGATGAAGAGCGTTTAAACGACCTTGACTGGCTATACAGCCCTCGAACGGTCGGTACAATAATATCTTCTTTTTTATGTAATCATACCTTTGGTAAAATTCACATTCGCAAAGATTGAGACATTGTTTTCCGTACCAATTGTCTTCACATGGTATACAAGAACTCCCACCATTTCGATTGATGAAACCAGTTTGACAAACTATCAAATGATAAATTACATCTATGACTTTTAATTAGTAGACACATGTTTAAGGTAGTTTTCAGAATTCATTTCTTTAGCGATGATTGATATAGCATTCAATGAATCTGCTTCATTTTTCATATTTTTTACTCATATCCATCTTTGTTCTGTAGTCTTTAGTCTTTATGAACAGACCAGTTATCTTATAACATCTTCTTATTCTTACATACAGAAATGTCGATCAAATATTTTTTTTAATAAACTGCTAATATACTGTTATATTTGCATATACGTTTGTTATATTACACAGTGAAGTTCAATAAAACTTTGAGACACGTATCAACTATTTAAGTTGGTGTCTCGCCGATACAACTGACAGCGTCACAAATATATTACTCTTGCAACTTCGAGATATAAGTCAACCAAGGGAAACAACCGTAGGATATCAAGATGGAAGTCGGATTGGCTCCAAGAATAACGATAAAAAATGTCGATCTCCCTATTTTTTTTGGTATGAAGAAACAGTTTTTGCGGACAAAAATGTTGCATATTTTATACATGTAGGACCAAGAAATAATTGAAGTAACCCTAACGTAAACCTTAATGTTTTTATAGTATTACTTCTTTTTCTGTCACATGGGTAATTTGTATCTTATTTTGTCTTTGAGAGAAAGTCTACGGAATGTAAAAAAACCATACACATCCTAATTATTTGCCATTCAGAAAGTATTTGAACTAACCTGAAACTCATATAATCTCCAATCATTGTATTCATTATATATCAGTCTCCATAACATTTTACCAGTTTTCTGCGGACAATATAGTCATAAATGCTTACCTACACAACTGCCATTAATCAGTTCGTAGTTGTAACAACAACAAGTCAGATTACTGAAACAAAAAGAAATTTTAAAATGGTTTATCGGGATTGTTACTTAATTCTGTTTGTTAAAATCAGGTTCCCGTTACTAAAAGTAAAACACTAATTAGAATGTACACATGACGATAGGAAGAACAACATTCCTGGAGCAATTTATCTCTTGCCTCGAAAATGACTATATCATGTATATAGAATACATATAAATTCAGAAATTATTGTGTGCATTTGTTATTTCGAATTTTGAAGAACGATCTAATTACTTATCAAAGGTACCAGGATTATGTTTTAATACGCCAGACGCGCGTTTCGTCTACATAAGACTCATCAGTGACGCTCAGATCAGAATATTTATAAAATGCGAGATTATTCATTATGATTTAAGTCAAATTTGGATACAGATATATGTAGCTGATATCAGAATGTGAGTTCTTATTATTTTGAGACCTACCCATGTTATTCACATTAATTAAATACTCGCAACAATTTCTGAGTTAACAGTATGCATTTCTATATCGATCTAGACTTAACCTGAATTCATTGAAATATTTAAGAGCCGTCTGAGAATAGTATTTTACTTGATACGTTTTATCCTGTACACCACAAAGATTCGAATTACTACACCATTTTACCGATAGCATTATATATACTTTCACTGTGTCCTGATTTGTACTAGACTCCGTATGGACCATACGGACGCAATACATTTATAGTGTTGTTTTCATTTATACAGCACTGGATGGACACCGCTGCTGGTGGACTTGATGGACTATCAGTACACGATGGTATCATCAGCTCAGCATTCAGTACTTTTGTACCTCTTATATTAAGAAACAAAACTTTCATATCCTTCAGACCAAGTTGATTTTAGATGGATTTGGCTTTTTTAAAAGTCTTTTTCTGGTCACATAGTTCTTCAAATGATTCGGTTCTTATTCATGCATTGCTTTCAAATATTCGGCTTTGAGTGTTCCTGATGAAGGTAATCCAGAAAAGCGCTTCAGACGCATGAAATCTATAAATGTTTATTCAAAAAAACGTTTGAATGCGGAAACCAATCTGAACACATTTTGCCATATCTTCAATTAGACATATTCGAGAGAAGTTCCGCATGAGTCTAACAAGTCTTATGATTTGACGAAAGTAGCGAGGACAATGAATTAAAGATAAAAGTGCTTAGCTGAAAAGTGGAAATGAATCGGGCAAAATTCCGACTGATCAAGATGAGTTGAAAAATATATCGAATATACACAAATGGTTGGTTCAGGGTCTTTCCTGGTCATAGTAATAAAATAATTTTAAATGATTTACTAATTAAAATATATGACATACCCATTACAGTTTGTACACACGCCTTCATCTGTCTCATTAAGACAATTTACAATATTACATAAATCACATATTGATATAATAAGATATACCAATTTCAGCATTTTAATTAGATTAATCAGGAAATATTTAGAAAGTTTCTTGCGTCAGTCATGTGATTGTTTATGGATAGGAAGGAATACAGGATATGCATTGAGGAAGAATTTGTCGAATGCAAGTACAAACATTTGTCAATGAATTGAATTTATACATATAATTGGTATGTTTTTAGTGTTCCTTACTCTTTTGAACATCAAATAAGCTGATATTGTCATTTTTCAAAGTAATAGGACCGATCAGGACCCAAGGACGACCTTTATGATATAGAATATAAAAAAACGAAAATGTGGTATGATTGCCAATGAGACAACTCTACACAAAAGACCAAATGACACAGAAATTTACAACTATAGGTCACCGTATGGCTTTCATAAATGAACAAATCCCATACCGCAAAGTCAGCTATATAAAGCCCTGAAATGACAAATGTAAAACAATGCAAACGAGAAAACTAACGGCCTAATTTATGTACAAAATATTGAACGAAAAACAAATATGTAACACAGCAACAAACAATAACCACTGAATTACAGGTTCCTGACTTGGGACTTGCACATATAGAATGTGGCGGGTTAAACATGTTAGTGTGCGCCCAACCCATCCCCTAATCCTGCAACATAACAATACAAGGACTGTACAAAACAATAAACAAACAACGCATATTCGCATCAACAACAAACAACAACCACTAAATTACAGGCTCCTGATTTTAGACAGGCACTAATATAATGTGGCGGGGTTAAACATATTAGCGGGCGCCCAACTCTCCCCTTACCTAAACAGTGATGTAACAGTACAACATAAGAACAAACTATGAAAATCAGTTGAAAAAGACTTTACTAATCAGAAGGATAATAATAGAAATACATCTAGCAAAAACACTTAAAGAGTCTATAAAAATTTCCAAACTGCTATTTGTATATATACCGGATCGTCTAGAATATGCAATTCTGCGCTGATAAACGAACAAAACATAAAAGTATTAAGATTTAAACACCGATACTAATCTAAGAGGCATTGAAATTCTTCTGTTAGCTGAGTAATTAAGTTGCCAGTTTTGTATCGAGGTCTGTGTTTTCATAGACCTATGTTTGTTTTTATCAGCAGCAGTTTTTAAAACCTCCTGTCCTAATTCAGAAGTCTGTTATTCAGTGGTTGTCGTTTGCTGCTGTATGCTATATTTGTATTACTTTTTATATAAGTAGGCCGTTAGTTTACTCGTTTGAATTTTTTTAATTTGTCATTTCGGTGGTTTTTATTACTGACTATGCGTGATGGATTTTGCTCATTATTGAAGGCCTTACGGTAACCAAGGGTTGTTAACTTTTATTTCATTTGGTCTCTGGTGGAGAGTTTGGTAGTTATACCACATCTTCTTATTTGTATATTCATATAGTTCATGGTTCTCAAAGGTACCAGGCTTATAATTTGATACGCCAGACGCGCGATTCGTCTACATTAGACTAATCAGTGACGCTCAGATTAAAAAAAGTTAGAAAGCCAAACAAGTATAAAATTGAAGAGCATTGAGGACCCAAAATTTCAAAAATTTGTGCTAAATACGGCTAAGGTAATCTGTGCCTTGGATAGGAAAATCCTTTGTATTTCGAATAATTCATATTTTTGAAAACAGTAAATTTATAAAAATTACCATATTATTGATATTCATGTCAACACCGAAGTGCTAAATATTAAATGGAACAATTTTCGCACACTTATCTACATTATATATATCTTGCTATTTCTGAATTTGACTTATACATCCCAAAATGTCTTTTCTTGAAGCACTTCGTGTACACACTCTCTTGATAAAATTAATGTTTAATACAACTCAATTTGGACTGTATACGTAACAACAAAATTATTTTCATTTACCTGTTTATAATAGTATTGTAAATTGCGGATTTTTGTTCAAGGTTATTGTTGTTTTTCTGAAATTGTTTAACATTTCACAGCGGTTAAATTTATAATATAACAGATGACTAATTAAAGTAACAGTATTATTACTGCTACTTTAATAAGTCATCCCTTATTTGATTAATTTTGTATTTACATTGTATCATAGATCAAATTTATTCGTTCAGTGTATGTTCATTTGTGTTAATATGTCTTTTTATTGAATTAAGCCATTTCAATTGATATTTTATAGTGTGTCTTTCTATGTTGTGATGCTACACTATTGTTTCAGATAAGGGTGACGGTTTGGTACCATTAAAACGTGTAAACCCGCTGCAATTGTTTGCACCTGTCCTAAGTCAGGAATCTGATGTTCAGTAGTTAACGTTTGTTGATGTGGTTCATAAGTGTTGTTCGATTTTCGTTTTTATAAAGATTATACCGTTGGTTTTCCCGTTTGAATGGTTTTACACTAGTAATTTTTGGAGCCCTTTATACCTTGCTGTTCGGTGTGAGCTAAGGCTCCGTGTTGAAGACCGTACATTGATCTATAATGGTTTACTTTTATAAATTGTGACTTGGATGGAGAGTTGTCTCATTGGCTCTCATACCACATTTTCTTATATCTATATAGGTTTAAATCAATATTTTTTTATATCTTAAACGGAATTATTAAAATGTTGGTAAAAAAGCCTGATTTAATTGGTCAATTAGTATTCTCTATCAGACGAGTTCATGGTGCATAATGTATAAATGTTATTCCGCATTAGCGAACAAACAGCACGTGTATCTCTAGGGCACATGAACAAATAGTTACGTCTATCTCTAGGTTTCATGAACAAATAATTTCTCGTAGCTCTAGGGAATATGAACTAGTGTCAAGTGTACCTCTAAGGTACGTGAACAAATAGTTACGCGAACAACTAGCGTGTTCGTACAACATCAATTTTGACCCGAACGGCCCTTCATAGGCATAAATCTTGACTGAAGTCTTCAGTAGTTTGAAATTTTGTTTCCAATTGCTGAATTTATACTCAAGATATTCGGGCCTTTGGAATTTGGCGGCATTTTTCAGAAAAGTGTTATTACGAATGTTAAGGTTACCAGTGATAATGTGTCTAGTATGATTATATATGAATGGGGAGTTAGCACCGGTGCAATCTGGATGTTTAGACTTGAAGTCGTCAATATTTTGATCCTGCAACACGTGTGATTAAAATGTTGTAGTTACAATTGGTTTGGTAAAGGTATAAGTGATGATAGGAACAGACTGATATGTAACATAGAGAGGTATTTTCGAGTCAACTAAATTAATTTAAGATGAAGGATATTGCTCATCGAGACCTGTGTTGGCAAAGGAAGGTTTCAGAAAGGGCCTTTTTTTTTTTTACCTTTTCATCTTTTCATAATGCTAAATGGTGTGAAAAGTCTGTGACTGGCAATGTCCAAGGTGATAGCTGTAAGTTTGTTTTGGTTTGAATGGGGTTTTGTAACAGTGAATTCCAAACATAAGTTGTTCAGATAATGAAGTTTTTATTTTCGAGATTGTTTGTTTGTTGGTCTTTGTTGAGCGCATGTGATAAATACCTAACGGCGTCTGAATAAATGGCAGCAGATCATTAATAGAGACGAAATGGAAAGTAGGTGATGTATAATGACGTTGACTATGACTGCGTCAACGTCGAGAAGTGGAAAATGTTCATAACGGTCTCCGAGCTACTGGAAGGACTTAATAAAATACCTATACCATCATCTTTTTTCATTGCAACCATATGGTGTCGAAGTTCCCAATTGTTGGATCCAGTCCTCTTCTTGTTGTTATGTGTGGATTGTTAATACTGTGGTATATTTTTTTGATGATGCGAACTAGTATAGAAAGTCAAGGATTGTCAGACTGATTAAAATTGTTGAAAACAATGTCCCTTGCATTTTTTTTTATGTGTGATCTATTGCCGTACATACGTTTGAACAAACCACAATCTCAAAGGAAACATACAAAATAATCTATGAATTGAGGCAGTAGTTTTCCAATGCTTTAATCGATTAAAAAGACCAATTCAGGTTACTAAAAAAAAAAAATCAAAAAGAAATGAGATGCGTCGTAATAAGTAGTTACACTGCTTCACCTTGTCCTGTGGCTGCCTACAGCAGTTTTATTTCATGGGAATGGTGTGGGGTTTGACACGTTACATTGTATTTAATTTTCTGAAGGACATGCACAGTATACCAGCGGACTGCAAATACAACTCAGCAATGACAAAACTACACATGATACATGACATATAAAGAATTCGTAAGAATATCACCAAGAAAGAACACACGCAAAATCGCTTACATTTTATTTGGATTTAGCATCTGTGTAATCTTGTACGTATATATTAGTTCCATTAAGAATTGAGGCATTCACAACTACATTTTGAACCTCCAATGAATTAAAGTTAGTCTGGATATTTTCATTTTTACGCAAATCACTTTCACCCACCTGGTCAAGTTCATGCTCTTTTCGAGAAACACTTTCTTTGGAATGTTCAATGTTATTTTCAGAGCTGACTGCGAATTCTTTCATTTCGATTTTTGAAGGCATTAATAATGAATCCTTATTGGTAGTCACTGCGTTAGGTATTTGTTTGGGATTTACAGAAGTCTGAGAATTTCCATTCTTTAACGACTGATTTTGGTGTAAAACATTCACTGTGTTTTGTAAATTGCTATCTATTCGGTCTCCTTTGATGTCACCTTTTAGAACCTCCTTTAGTAGGAGGGGGGACATTGAATTTTCTTGACATTGATGAATTGTCACTGGAACCTCATAACTATGAAATGTTTGCTTCCAGTCTTCATTCAGAGGTTGGTATGGATTTAAGTATCCATCAGTTATCATTTGCGTACTGGAATCAGACGAGTCGTCTACTTCTATGCTCGGAGCATGCGTTACATCATATTGGTGTGTCTTTTCTTTCCAGTCTTCGTCAATAGAATGGTAGGGATGAAGATAACCAGAAGCATCGTAATCTTTATCGAACTCATCTGAGTTTTGGTTTTGATCTGATTCATTGAGGGAAAAGTCGCTTTTGTTAACATGTTTTTCAGATCCATGAAAGCTACTGCTGTCACCTTCTGAATGAATTGGACACAAATAGCCTG